TTTTGACATAACTTAGGATTTAATTTTTGGCCTATTTCCTCTTTTGTCTGCTTGTCCCACTCCACAATCCCCGTTCAGTCCTTTTTTCTAGTTGGAAACAGTTCAGAGCTGGCTGTGGCCGTTTGGTTTTCTCTTTACACATTTTTTTGGTAATATTTGACTTTGTCTTCTCAAGCTGATCTTTGTATATTTCTGTTCATCTTTTGGACCTCCTCATTTCTTCTATTTGCTTTAGCATCTCTACATCAGAGAGCAATTTTCAGTGTCTCTTCTGACATTCATTTTAATCTTTTCCTTCTGTAAAAGTAATGACTTTTTACTTTCTTCATGTATGATGTTCTTCATGTCATCCCACAACTCTTCTGGTCTTTAGTTTTTAGTGTTTAATGTATCAAGTCAGTTCTTCAGATGATCTCTAAATTCAGGTGGGATATATTCAAGCTCTTATTTTGGCTCTCATGGACTTGTTTTCATTTTCTTCAGCTTCAGATTGAATTTGCTTATGAGCAATTGATGGTCTATTCCACAGTCAGCTCCAGGCTTGTTTTGATATGAAGCTTTTCCATCGTCTCTTTCCACAGATGTAGTCAATTTGATTTCTGTGTATTCCATCTGGTGAAGTCGTCGTTTCTTATGCTGTCCAAAGAAGGTATTTAAAATGATCAAATCATTGATTTTACAGAATTCTATCATGCAACCTCCAGCATTACTTCTATCACCAAAGGACTGCGTAAAATGGTAGCTGGCTTCCTCAAAGTGAGAGAGCAAATTTATATGTACACATACAATATACCCATATATAACACACACATACAACACTAAAGTTTCTTCTGTAACCTAATCTTAGAAGTGACCCACGATCACTTCTACCTGACTCTATGGTTACCTGACACTGTGGAAAGGATACATAGGGCATGAATACCAGGGGATGGGCTACCACCCAGATCCATGTCTCTCAGTTCCTGCAACCTTGGTCTTTGACTCTTGACCCTGGACACTTGGGATATGATTGCATTGAGGCTCCCTTGATAGGTTGGGTTGTCGGAATTAATACAGGATACTCAGTTACATTTGAATTTCAAATAAACAAGGAATATATTTCTACTATAATTATGCCCAAAATATTGTATGACAATGTTGTTTAAGAAGGAATAGATGCCCAAGGCAGGGCTCCTGGGGGGTGGGAGGCACTGAGTTCTTGGGTTCTAGGATTGTGCATGTGACCTGAGGGTGACCGACTCACCCCCTGACCTTTGTGAAGACTGAGCTTGACCTTTCCATTCTAGACATGAACTTCCCAGAGAGTCTCAGAAAAGGCCTAAATGGGAGTGGAATGGCATGCTGCCACCCTGAGCCTGAGAGGTGGGAGGGTGACTGAAGGAGCCCAAAGTGAAGGTCCTTCCTTATCCTCCAGAGGAGTGCTCCTGGAAGGCTGGCCTGAGTGGCGTCCTCTGTGTGGCCTCCTGCCTCCCCAGCATGGTCCATGGCCTGTCGTCCAAAACGCCTCTATTCCTTCCTTGATTCCATGAGCACCCAAGCTTCTTTCTTTTCAGTCTTGGCCTCAGGGAGAGGTGCCTTCTCAAGGGGAGGGAGTGCTTCTCCTGTCAGACACTACTGTCCATGTGGCTGCCCCCTCAGGCCCATCCCTCAGGCAAAGGCCTCACCTGGTGCTGCCTGGCTCAGCCTAGACAAAGTGCTTATCTTTCTCTTGGTAGAATGGGTCTGGGGAGAAAGGTTGAGGGGGAATCTGATTGTGGACACCTTGCAGGAAGATCCAGGCCACGCCCACCACCACAATGAGTGTCACCAAAAACTGGCAGAGCTGGCCACAGTGCAGGAATTCCAGTTCCAGCAGTCCTTGTTGCAATTGTTCTGGTCCCTCATGTGGTTGACTGTGAAGTTGGCCCCATCCACAGCTGGCTTCAGCTCCCTGAAGAGGTCCTGCTGGCTCTGCTCAGTCTGGTGGGTTTCAGTGTGTGGTGGTGAGTTGCCAGGCTTCTTGAACATGAGGTTACTATGGGACTTGAGTGAGGAATACTCCTCTACTTTGGAGATGTAGCCCAAGGAGCTGTTCCTGCAGACCAGGACCCTAGGACTGAGCCCGTCCTCCACTGGACGGGACATGTGCAGTAGTTCAGGCAAGGTCTCCAGGAAGAGCTTCTTGATGCTCTTGGACAGCACATAGGTGCTGGGCGTTGGGAAGAGGATGTTGAGAGCACAATGGCACAGATCACCCAGACCATGGCTCCCAGTACCTGTGGGACTGAGAGTTTCATTTCCTTGCAGGCTATTGGATGAGGGCCACTGCCAACTTTTAGAAGCAAGCCACGTGCAATTCTTGTTTCATGACCCACTTCTTTCATTTTTACAGCCAGAACTACAATTCTCTGTTCCTTCTTCTGTCAGCACACCTCTCTCTAACCAGTAAGAAAAAAGTGCTCAGCTTTTAAAGAATGATGTGCTTAGAATGAGACCACCTGGATAATCCAGACTAAACTCTCCATCTCACTGTGCATAACCCTAATCTCACCTGTAAACTCTCTTGTCATGGAAGAAACCATGTTTACAGGTGCTACAGATTAGGACATGGCTATCGTTGAGGCCATATTTAGCTTATCACAATCACCCACATTGTTAGCAGCTTTCTTGGATTTCTCCTGGATATTGTTCAGTAAACCTCAGGAACATGGCTTCCCTGAAATGTGCCACACGAATGGTGAGGGTCATGAACTCCTGCATAGCCTGCTTGGTGCCAGGACAAGAACTACAACTGATCATACTAAAAGCTGGAACTTGGCAAGGCTGTGACAGTTGGAGGAGACCCTTTTTAGTAGCTTCATCTTACAGGCAGTAGAAAGCATCCCTCCCTATCATTCCTATTATGGTGTTCAAATTATGGATGGACTGTTAACTGTGTAAGTTCAGCAGCTCAAACCCACCAGTCACTGTATGGGAGAAAGATGAGGGTGAGTGTCCCCATCAAGATTTCCAGCCTTAGATACCCTGGGGAGTAGTTCTGTTCTGCCTATAGGATCAGTTTGAGTTGAATGCAACTTGATGGCAGTGGGTGGGATTATGCTGTTCACACCAAATTCACTCAGAAAGGAGACCAAGGGAGCTGCAGAGACAATCTGGAAGCATTAACCCAGCAAGGTCGCTGGAGAAGGATATCATGTTTGGTAAGGTGGAGGGTCAGAAAAAGAGGAAGACCCCCAGCAAGATGGATTGGCAAAGTGGCAGCATCAATGGGTTCAAATGTGGTAACAATAGTGACGCTGGCCCAGGATCGGGCAGCTTTTCGTCCTGCTGTGCATAAGGTCGCTTTGGGTCAGTACTGACACCTCACAACAACAACAACAAGCTCCTTTATTCCCCTGATCTGTTGGGGAAACTCAGCTTCTCTTTTGCTAAATACAGCTCCCTACAGGATTCTGAAAGGAGCTCTCTTAGCACAGTGGTTATGAGTAGGGCTGCTAACCTCAAGGTCAGTAGTTCGAAACTACCAGCTGTTCTGCAGAAGGAAGGCGAGGCTTTGTGCTCATCTTAAAAATTTACATCTTGGAAACCCTATGCAGGGTTGCTATGAGTCAGAACTGACTCCACAGCACACCACCACCACCACAGGATTCTGATATACAGCCAGATGTGGGAATCACTGGGACTGGTTTTAAAAGAAAATAAACCTTTTAGGTTAGAAGATTTTTCAAATAAAGCCGTATTTCCTTTTTATTAGTCATGAAGTAAAGCATCTCCAAGCTGAATTACTTTATAATTATTACATGATATACAACCATTAAGCCAGTTTCAAAAAAGATAAATTTCCTGTTTTAATTTATTCACAAAGGAAGCATCAAAAATCATGAAGGCCTTCTTTTCCCTTCACCTTAACTCTCTAAATTTATGTTTAAACCTGATATATTTTTTAACACTAAAATGATGGCTTTTTCTACAATAGTGCTTATAAAGATAATGATTATAAATACAATTAGAAAGAGAAATAAACACTCTCACTTTTTGGTTTCTTCTACTTCATTATCTTCTTTGTCATTAAGATAATAATACTGTAGAAGTTAATGTTTCGGTATAAATATCAGGTATAATTTTAACATTTTCCATAATCTTGAGAAATTTTTCAGTATTATATAATAAAAAATTCAATTACAAATACACATATTATAAAAATACATTTTTAAAAACGGGAAAATTTTTAAATACTGGATCATTATTACACTGAAGGTGAGTTGGAATTATGAAGAGGCTTTGATTCTTTTATCTTTATCAGGATATTCTTCTACATCAGAGCAGAACATCAATTCTGTGGGAGAAGAACAGGTCATAATTAAAACTGTTCCCCAGTGCCTCAAAAAAGCTTTCTGACTGAGATATAATGTCTCTTGAAATAGTAACAAAATATACAATAACAAAAAGCCAATCATCAAGTGTAAGTAAGAATTCTAATAGAAACACACAACTCAAAGATGAGCTAATGTACATATCTAGCATTTTAAAACGTTCAAGTTTTAAATTCATTACAAACCTCTGAAAAATAAAACATAAGTAGCAATAAAACAAACTATACCAGGAAATTTAAGTCACTTAGAGAATCCATGAAGAGGAAAGACATTGCAAAGCTAAAAGGCCTCTTCTATAGTAATCAGATAACACAAATGTAGGGGACAAATGATGAGGAAGGACTTGGAACTAACATTAGGTTTGTGTCAGAACACCGTAAATGTGTGATCCCATTTAGTTGTCATAGCAACCCAATAGCCTGATATCATCCTCATTTTACATTTTTTTATCCACACAAAAATATAATGTTATATAATTTACATAAGAAAGCCTAGTGGTACCATAGGCTGCTATCTAAGGGGTAGGCAGTCTGAAGCCATCAGTCCTCCAGCGTATGAAAGATGAGTCCGTCTACTTCCCTAACAATTTACAGCCTCAGAAACCCTGTGGGGAATTGTTACTCTGTCCTATTTGTTGTTGTGATGTGCCATGGAGTTAGTTCTGACTCATAGCGACCCTGTACAGGGTTTCTAAGGCTGTAAATCTTTATGGGAGCAGAAAGCCTCATCTTTCTCCTGCAGAAAAGCTGGTAGTTTCAAACTGCTGACCTTGAGGTTCACAGCCCGATTTGTAACCACTACGCTATCAGAGCTCCTTACTCTGTCCTTTAGTCACTAGGAATTAGAATCTACTCAAGAGCAGTGTGTTGGATTTTATAATTCACATGACCCTAAAAGAGAACAGGATTCAGAAATATTTAGTAAATAACACTGATTACTGTACAAGCCAGCTAGATGAGCTTCAATCCCAATCACAATGCTATTTATTCATGTTTCTGCATTTAAAAGCATTACGCTGACAAAATATACAATAACAAAAATACATATACATATGTAATTTTTTAATTCCAGAAAAAAAGGAAAAAAAATTAAGAAACTAGTAAAATAAGCATTCAAAGACGAAGAAGATGTTTTAAAATATGTTAAATATATCCAAAAGAATAAATCAATAGGATATTCAGTGAGACAACATGCTAATGATAATGTAAATAGATATTTTCATGGATGTAAATAAACAGGATTATATTCCATCTTGGTTTTTAAAATGGAAATGCTGGGGAGATTCTCAACTCTAAGACAGATTGTAATTAGTTAATCATATTGTAGTTAAATCTTCAAGATGTTTAAGAAATTAAATAATGTCATATCCAATATATCCATAAAATTGACTGAAGGATGGAATTGTACAACATCTACCAAGGAAATTCACCTTACACTAAAAATTCTAACAGTTCCTCAAGTATTACTAAAAGGACTAGAAGTTTGTTAATATCTTACTTCTTCAGAGGTGTTCCACTTCATACTGGACACAGTAAGGGTAGGATCACTAAACACTTCATTAGATCATGTAGGGTGAAGAATTTTTACCAGGTAAATAAAGGTTAGAATAATACACTTGACTATGTATCTAACAGAGAAGCTACATAGATGAAGCTAATATATTTCAAATTAAGAGGCATGTTGATCAGAAAGAGACTAAGAAAAGTGAAGAGCCTAGATTTTCTATCAATTACTCGAAGGCTTAAAAGATGAGAAATACCCCCTAATTATGCACAAGGGCCCCAGAAGTCCCTCCATGAGTACCCCAGAGCCAGCTCTCCTAGGCACTCCGCCTGCTTCTCTCAGCATTGTTTCACTTTTTATTTTTACTCTTTTTTAGTCTGTTTTAAATTTTTTTGCTATCATTATATTGTAAGCTATAAAATACAAAATGCTTATAGAACATTTCATGATATTCTTACACTATTTTTCTTTCATACCTTCACTAAGATCCATACCAGGCCTATAAGACAAAAAGAGCCAAGCTAACCCAACCAAAAGGGCTACCACCAGATTCACCACAATCCAAGGCTGGAGAATCTGTTCTTCAATTCCTGCAGCCCTAAGAATATAGGAAAACTCATTAGAAATGTCTTTATTGTGGTTCATATATCTAAATACATGTATTCTATGAACTTTAAAAAAAATAGCAATCCACTCCTAGAGAGTTAACAGGTAACAAGGAGAGCATGAAATACACATATCATGTGAATTAAAATCCAAAGGCTGTCTGAACTTTAAACTGATCTGATTTACACATTAATGAAATTGTAGCATTGCCAAAAAACTTTTTGAGAAGTTTCCCTCCCAACAACTACGGCACTCACTCACTATTCATGAATGAAGTATACATGTGTAAATCAAAAATTTTGTTACAAAATCATAGAAACCCTTATTAAACAAAAATACAAAAATGTGAAGCTATTATTTCTGGAACTAGCTTCCAGCTAGGTCTCTACACTTCTGAAGGTGGTGTTTCCATCTTGCTAACACTTCCCCGAAGAGTTCTGTGTTCTTTGATTTACACCATGTTAAAATGGCAGTTTTAGCATCCTGAAAATGTTCTTTTAGATTTGGGAATAAAAAGAAGTCTGAAGGGGTAAGATCAGGGCTATAGGGTGGATGAGGTATGGTTTTCCAATGAAATTCTCGTAGGACAGTCCTTGCTACCTTCAAAGTATAAGTAGGTGCAACATTGTCATGATGGAAAAACTTCCTCAGCACAATTTCCCAGCATTTCTCTCACCAATGCAGTTTTCAATTTTCTTAACACATCTTAATAATGACTATCTAGTGTCCTTGAAGAAAATCTTACAAGATTGTTTTTAAGTGCCATGGAGTCAGTTCCATCACATAGCGATCCTGTATATAGCATTTCTGAGGAGCGACTGGTGGGTCTGGACCCCTGATTGTGCAGTTCAAAATGACTTTGAGGTCAGTGGTTTATCCTACAGCACCACACCAAGACTCCCTACCAAGATGACTCCTTCAGAATTCTAAAAAATTAGTTGTCACACCTTCTGAGCTGACTGCCTTGAATTTAACTGGCCCAGCAGATCCTCTAGGAAGTCACTGTTTTGATTAGACATTAGTTTTGAAGGCACACTAATGAGACTAAGATAAGTTTATCACTTAGAGAACTTGTCTACAGCCATCCACTGATCACAGAAACAGGTTTAAACACATTTTGTTTGGAATAAACCTTTGCATGTATTAACTGGAACCCTAGTAGCAATACTTTTTGACTCACTCTTGTATTTTCTTTCTCTCTTTATCCTGTGCTCCTAACCACACTGTTAAAAAAATAAAAAATAAATTAAAAATGCCCTCTGAGTTTTGTAAACTGGAATCTCAGCAACTCTGTCAGCTTCTTGGCTGGTCACTGACCCGGAATGCAAGCATTCCCTATTCTGCTTGCGTCTAGTACTGCTTGGTTTTGGAGTCTATTCCAGCTACACATTCTCATCAGGATGCTCTGGGGCATTAGGCTCCCTGACTGGGGGTGCGGGTTCACAGCTCCTCCCGTCAGTCTTGTGAAGATTTAACTTGCAGATCTAAAACACATTTCTAGAAAACAGACATTTCATTACAAACAGTATTGTCCCTAACTAGCAGGTTGGGTATTTTCTTGCCATAGTTTTAGAAACAATAACAGGGGCTCCATTAATATTTACAGATGAACACATGTGAAAGATAAGAAGATTAAGTAAATACTTTTTTCACTGTTGTTTATTACCATCAACTGTTGCAAATGTTACTGCGAATTCTTACCAGAGGCTGCCATTACCAAATGTGTACAGGTGGATTCTGTCACTTGTCATTTGCTGACTCAAAGATAGTATGAGAGCAGTAAAGTACACTGAGAAAAAGACAAATGAAATTACTAATAATGTACTTTTAACAACCCAGTTTATTTTGAATTAATAGAAGATTTTAAAGGCAAAGTATCTTATTTTGGTGACTAACAGACAAAAGAAATTAACTTAATTGATTACATTAGACTGATTTTATTTTTATTTTTCAAGGATACAGGTGACAAACTTTCTTTCAAGATGCTCACTATTTCATCATTAGAACTGACAAGAACCTCAAATATCTTTTAAAAAATTAAATAACTTGCTGAAGGTCCTAAAATTAGTTTCATTAATAGTCTCATAACATATACAAATGCATTCAAATCATCAGAAAGATATGATGTTTGTTACTGAAAATAATCTGTTTAATGTCAAGTAGAAACTATAAAAGCTAAAAAAATCTAAGTATTACAGAGAAAAATATTTAATTTTTATAAGTTACTTAGATCAACCTGTACTGAAAAATATGTCTATCAAAATTATGCCTGTCATGTTTTTTAATATCAAATTTCACTAACCATCTACAAATAATGTTTAGAAGTAGCAACATAAAATCTGTTTTTTAAATGAAAGTATTTTTCCTGCTTAAAATTACAGTGTAACTCAAGTACTACTAAGTGATTCAATTAAATTATTTACTCACAGAAAGATGCTAAAGCTGTTGGATCCAGAGCCAGAAAACTTCGAATTGCTACTGATGTTTTAGCAAAGTCAATCCTAGAAAATACATAATTCTCTTGTCATAGTACAACTGTCAACTTATAAAACTTTACACTCTGACACTACTCGAATGCTACTACATAATTTGTACATTATCAGACTTTGTTATAGTTTATACTTAACATCTACGAAAGAATATCTTATTTTCACAAATGACTTACAAAACATTTAACTGGAAAACTATCTTAGGCATTCCTTTGGAGTTAAGAAGTCCTGTCAAAACAAATTAAATTTTACCTACAAAATTTCACTAGCTACTACCTTCTTTTATCAAACATATCATTGTTGCTGTCGAGTTGCCTCTGATCCTTAGCAACCCTAAGCACAACAGAATAGAACACTGCCTGACCCTGTACCATCCTCACAATTATTGTTACCTTTGATTCCCCTGATGTAGCCACCATGTCAATTCAACTCATTAGGGGTCTTCCTCTTTTCCAATGACCTCTATTTTACCAAACATGATGTCCGTTTCCAGGGACTGGCTCCTCCTGATAACATGTTGAAAGTGAGTGAGGCAAAGTCTCGCTATCCTAGCTTCCAAAGAGCATTCTGGCTGTACTTCTTCCAGAAGATTTTTTTTTTTCTTCTGGTAGTCCATGGTACTTTCAATATTCTTTGCCAACACCATCATTCAAACGCATCAGTTCTTCTACGGTCTTCCTTTTTCATTGTCCAGCTTGGGTCAGGCACACCTAAGTCTTCAGATGGTCATCTTTGCTTTTTAACACTTTAAAGAAACCTTGGAAGCAGATTTGCCCAATACAATACATCATTTAATTTCATAACTGCGGCTTCCATGGGCATCGATTTGTGGATCCAAGTAAAATGAAATTCTAGACTTTCAATATTTTCTGTTTACCATAATATTGCTTATTAGTCCAGTTATGAGACTTTATACTACTTTGAAACTGTTATAGCATGTCAGTGATACATTTAGTTCACTATTTCCTCCTGAATTTAGAGGGATCTGCAATCACAAAAGTCTTACCTGTCAAAAGCTGAAATGGTACTTAGAGCCAAAAGCAAGTAGAGAAGACTCTGGAATGGATATGCTAAGGTCTTGTACTGTTGCAGAAGGTTTTTAAGGTTTGATAGCTGATCTCCTGCCAGAACATATATCACAACAATATTCCACACAGCACAGCCAGCCAGGAAGCCATGAGAAAAGAAACCAATCATCCTGAGAAGAAAAGCAGTTAACATAATATAAGAATTACTAAAATAGAAAGCTGAAAACAGTCTTAAAAATCTCTTCACATAAGAATAAAATTCAACATTTCAGAAATGTAAAAACAAGTTTTTTCTTTTCAGTACACTGATTAAATCTAACTAAGGTAATTTCTTACCTTTATCATTTGAGGTTGTCAATTTCATTGATAGCACTGAGCAACCAAGACATATATATTTTTAAATTATGGAATCCAGTAGTTAATCTTTTTAAAAACTTTGTCATAAATTTTATAGCCTTTGGGGGAAAATTCTTTTCTTCTGAAGCCTTCTTCAAGAAAAAGACCAAAACTTTTTAAGATAAATCTTCCTACTGACCTTCCAATTTCTTTATATAATTCTGCTAATCAATTAGGAGCCTCATTTTTTAACATTTAGGAAGTTAAACAGATGGAGCCACCTGAAAACCCGGTGCACTGAAAGCGCAACATCTCTGGTCGTCCAGGATGGCTTCAGGTCCATTGGCACATCTAAATTTTCTGTGGTCTTTATCAGCTCTGAACGGTCAGCAGCCTGGAATCGTCCTAAGAATGCATGAAATAATTATTAAGCCCCTGCAAGGTGAAATCTGGCAGTCATTTTCACTTCTCCATACTTAAGAACCCTCAGACAAGAATGACTTTGCTGTTTTTCTATCTGAAAATTCCACTTAACTCAGTCCCTATTTCCAAAGGGTTGTTTTCTTTTTATTGCTTGAACTTGGCACTAGTTTTTGACTTTTGTGAAAAATAAACACTGTCAATGTACTTTCTTATAAATCCAAAACAGATGCTAAAGTAACAAACAGCTTTAGAAATCAGTTCTATTTGAATGAAATGCATTAATGAACTTCCAATCCAGAATAAAATTTAGAACCTTTGACATAACCAATTGTGAGACCCTAGGTTAGGCATTTAGTATCTTTATGCAACCAGTGGCTGACTGGCCAAGAACTCTAAGATTCCTGAGCTACAAATCAAAATTGTAAAATAAATTATACAAAATCTGTACTGTAAATTTTAAACTAATTTTTTTATGTTTCAAATTAGCTCCTTAGGCAGCATAATCATAAGAGTAGAATATGGCCATAATCATGCTTTGGATAGATTTTTCTTAAATAATGCAATCCACTGTTTTTTAACCAGTATACACTATGCAATCTCAGAACTACTTTTTCAGAGAAAATAAAGTTGCAATGTTTTATTGCTTATTTAATCTGGTTTGTTGTTGATTTGTTAAATGCTATGGAGTCAGTTCTGACTCACAGTGACCCTGTACAGGATTTCTGAGAAGTGGTTGGTGGCTTTGAATCTTCAACCGTGCAGTTAACAGCCCAGTGCTTATCCTATAGTGCCACAGCAGAACTCCATTTAGTATACCATTATATAGTCTCTCATTTATTTTCACTTGTAAAATTTATATTATCACCTACTCCTCTACTATCACTATCACCAACTGTAGAAAACTGGAAAAGTAAAGCAAAGTATATAGAAATGAGCAGGGATGGGTGGAGATTTATTTTTATAAAAAGTCACCCATAATCCTACAACCTAGAAATAAACACAATATTTTGATCTATTTCCTTCTAGTCTTTATAGCCTATGCATTTTTCTATAGTAGAGATCACACTGTATGTGTGTGGGGATTCACTTTTCACTGAGATTTGTTATAAAATGAAAAATTTTCTCTAACCACAGTTTTAATGGCATACAATATATTATTGTATAGAAACAGTATAACATACTGAAATGATTTCCCATTTAGGCTGTTCACAGTTTCTTCACTCTCATGAATAATACTGTGATGACTAGCTTTGTATATGAATTTTTGTTCATATTTCTATTTATTTTCTTCATTCAAAATCCAGAAGTATGATTCCTTGGCCAAAGGATATCCTTGTATAATTTTTAACCAGCTCACCTCTCAGAACAAAGACGTACTTACGGCTTTTTTCCACAAATATTTTGCCTACAGGCTGGCTAATGCCAGTAGGTGCAGTAAATACAGTTTGTTGTTCTAGATTACTTTGCTCGTCAGCAATTATATCTTCATCTTCTACTCCTAGCTCATTGGCATACTGTGATTCTGATGGCTGGGTTTTCCTGGAATCAGGGAGAATGTAAAAAAAAATGGATGAATATTGAATTTTTACAGACTCACATTTTCAGTGAATACAATGGAAAGAGCACCTGACTTGGAGTCAAGAAATTCAGTTACTATTCATGGATCTGTTAATAACTTGTTATTTGCAATATATCACCTATGTTTCTGTGGGTCTCAGTTTTCTCCTCTGGAAAATAAAGTAAATCGACTAAATTTTTAATGTTCTTTGGAGATTTTAAATTATATGATTCTAGACAGATAGTAGGAGCTCTGGTAGCGTAGTGGTTACGAATCGGGCTGTGAACTGCAAGGTCAACAGTTCAAAACTACCAACTGTTCCGCAGGAGAAAGATGAGGCTCTCTGCTTTTGTAAAGATTTACAGCCTCGGAAACTCTGTACAGGGTCGCTATGAGTCAGAACCAACTCCACGGCACAAAACAACAACAGACAGATACTGATCAATGTGTGTAGAAACATTTTTCAAATACCAACATTAGGGATATATAGTTCCTAAGACTTGTTTTCCTATGCTAAAATATATTTTTTATTTGCTGAAATAATCAAGTTTGAGTTCTGTGACTACATGAGACTATAAATCATAGTAGCTTATTTTGTTGATATTATAAATAACTTTTTGTTACTTATGCAAAAATCTTCTATGTTCCTTGAGAGTCAGCTCCCAAGAATTTTTAAGTATAATATTTCATTTTACTCTATTCTTTTCAAATTTATCTTCAAATGCAACTCATACTTTTTTTGAAAAGACAAATATATATATTTAATTAATAGATTTTTAATAGATTTTAATTTGTATATATTCACCACATAAAGTATGTTTTTGTTATTGTTATGTGTCAACAGTCAACAACTCATTTGCTACTTATAATGACCATGTATACAACAGAATGAGCTACTGCTTAGTCCTGTGAGATTCTCACAATTGTTACTATGTTTAGGCTGCTTCTAAGATACACTATACAAAGCTGTATGTCTGATTGAAGCAGACAGCACTTGACAAGAACAAAAAGGATTAAGGATGTCCCCACCTTACTAGAAGGTGCAACTCAAGGCCCACCACATTAATTTCCTTAGGGTTGTGGTCTGGGTCAAATATATAGGAATGCTTTGGGAAGTCTGCTTGCTTGCTCTGGAGCCTGAGTTTGGCTGGTCTCCATCTGATCTCCAATTTTTTTTTAATGTTTTACTGTGAATAATGTGATAGTTTACATAGGAGAACATTAGTTTCACATTCATCCTATCGTATATCATTTCATTGTCATGGTTACAATCCCCTCCATGTCTCATCAACCAAAGGGTATACCCTGCAAGCCTGCCCCCCGGGTCATCAGCACACAGCCCCTCTCCCTCTCTGGGTCTAGAGTCTCTAGCTGCTCCATCTCTCTAGGTCATCATCTCTGCCTCCATCTCTGGCGTCACTGTTTCTCTGGGTAGGGTCCTGCACTCTGCTCTTCTCCCTTGATGGTCCCAGGGACCTCTGCTTCTGGACTGCAAAGTCAATCACTCCCTTCCTTTTGCTACAAAATGTCTACCTTTACATTTCCAACCCTCACAGTCAGTCCTGATAACAATTATTCACTATTGTAACACAAGAGACCTATCCCCATCTCCTTTCATCAGCCCCACCCAAGCAGACTGGATACTATTCAGTGGAGATTGTACCTTCCTCTGTGCCCTCTGGATCTAGGCTCCCTCTTGAAAGCTTGTAAGCCAGTCACTTCTTGGCTTTGTAGTTCCCCCATTTTGGGTAACCAATGTCCAAGATGTCCATCCCTGTCTACTTTGCGTATGGAGGGGTGGGAATGATCCTCACTATAAAGATTTGTTCCCTCTTTTGAACTACTGCATCCATAGGTGTACGCACAACTCATACTTTTATAACATTACTTCCCCTAGAGCTATACAGCTACAAGTAATTAATAAAACTTAATAACAAAACACATTTGTGAGCTCCAAATTAAGCATCAGGAGATCCCTGGAGACTGTTTAGAAGGACACATGAATTCTTACTTTGTCTTCTTTCGAGGTTTTTGAATAACTGCCTCCTCAGCTGGTTCCACATCAATGCCATTTTCGTTTCTTAATAAAGTTGGACTAGATGCCTTCTTTTGGGAGAGGGAAGTCTCCAATTCTGAAAAATAAAATAAATTAAGTTTTCAAATGACCCTAATGTAAAATGAAAAGAAATGCATAATATTTTTGTAAGACAAAAGAACTTTGAAAATTTTAACTGGGCAAAACATGTTTTTGCCATCTTTTTAATTTTTAATTTTAAAAGCTTTACACTTCCAAATGCTCAACACAAATTTCGAAATTATAGTAAAAACTATATGGAAAACAATTATGTCATGTTATACCCAGGTCATGTCAAGGGTCCCCAAGACCACCCCAAGGTTTGGTGAGTTCACTATAAGAATTCTGAAGTCATTACGTGCACAGTTAGTTTGTTGCTGTACAGACAAACTATAGAGCAAAATTAGCAAGAAGAAAAAGTGCATGGAGAAAAATCCAGAGGAAACCAGGTCCCCGTTTTTAAGAGTCCTGTCTTAGTGGGACTGCACAGGTTATACCAATTCCTCCAGCAACACGCTGACAACACATGCGGCATAGCTCTACAAGAGCAACTCATTAGCAACTTAGCACCCACGGCTTTGATTGAGGGCTAGTGAAGCAGTGTTCAGCATACATCACAGTGTACAATCTAGGCACAGTGAGGCACCCTTCTCACTGAGGGAGTTTTTATTAATCAATGTAGGAAACTACTTGTCAGTCAAGTTCCAGCTCCAGCCCAAGCCCAACGTTGTAACAGACCTTCCTATGGACAGCAGTCTGAGGCCTGCTATGGACTCCATATACACACATGGCATTAAGTTTAAACAAGTCAATGGAGCATTCTAATCTCCTCACTATGCTTCCTAGCTGCAAAGTCCTGGCTCTCGCTCCCTGAATAGCCTCAAGTCCCTGGAATTCAGTAAGTATACTTACAGCCTCGGCTGGAAATACAAAAAGCTACTATGGAATGTAGTAACAAAACACAATGCACAAACAAAACGAAAAAACCCAGAAATGAAAAAGTTAGAAATCTGCAAGCTTGGGTGTATTCTGGAATGACAGTGATAGGTTCTCGAAACTTTGGCTTACAATTTAGTTAGGTCCTAAATTTACTAAAAATGTTTAAGCCATTTTTATTATATTTTTCCAAAAATTATAAAATGAGGAATCAGTATCTGGCTTGATTTTCAAATGTGTACCCACTCAAGTAGGTTTAAATCAACCATATCCAGTGTCGGTAAGGCTGGTCTGAGCCTCATTTCTGACTCTTTTCCATCTTCTGTCCTCTCTCTCTCCTCACAGACTCCAAGTGTGCCCAGGCATTATAGCATCTCACTTCCACTTGACTCCCAAGGTCAGGTCTCGTTCTCCTGAGCTTTCCATTTCCTACTCTGCTACCCAAATAATTTTCCCATCCAGTCAAGACCTGCTGTTTTCTAAGAGTCAGGAAAACTAACATGTAGTAAATTGTCCATGGTGACTAATGAGTTAATAAGCAACCTTCCCTTTCTTCTCTTTGCTCAGTATAACAAAACTATTAATTTTTTCCTCCCTATTATAAAAATCATAAATGCTCAATATATGGAAAATATAAATAAGAAAGAAAAAATACAAAAATCACATTTAATTTCTCCTTCAAAAAAAGCTTACACTGTTAATACCTCAGCATATCCTTTCGTTTCTTTTCTATGCATATATGACTACTATACATATATTTTACAAAAATAGAATCTTATGATGCAGTTTTATAACCTTTGTTTTTGACTTAGCAATAAAAATGGGCTTCAAAAAGTTTATGGAAAAATTCCATTATCTTTTAATTTTATTTTCCATGAACGTTTTGAAGTTCCCCTCTTATATTATTGGTAGTTTTTCATGCCACTGTTCTAGTTCACCACTCCTTTTAATGGAGAGTTGGTTTCCATTTAATAAAGAAATATGACTTATTTAACTAGTATCATTTTGTTAGATAACTGGGCTATTACTAGGCTCTACTCTCTTCAATGGGGAGTGTGGTAACTTCATACAATACGCACTGTACTGCAAATCACAAATTTCGTGGTTCAAGCATGCCAGGCGTTCCGTGGGAGACAAATGAAGCTTTCTGCTAATGAGAAAATGTAGAGCTTCTGAAATCCTATACAGCGTCGCTGTGAGTCAGAACTGACTGGACAGCACTTAATGACAATAACGCTCTTAAATGACTGACAAGACCACAGTTTGTGTTATGTCCATCTTAATCATTTAAGTGACATCTCATTCTATTCTACATAGGTCACACAAGTCAGAACCAACTTGACAGCAACAACTAGTCTAATAAATAGTGTTGCAGTTAACAGCCTTTAAGTACCGTAGCTACTAAGTATCAATTCCTTGAAGTACACACAGTCAGTACCAATTAACACTATCAGCCATATGCAAGTCTACCAACTTCCCAGGAACGCTAGATTTTGCAATCTGAAAAAAGCACGGCCAATTTGATATCTCTAAAGCTCACTGCCATCAAGCCAACCCCCACTCAGGGCAACCTTGTACAGGTTTCCAAGGCTGTACACCTTTAAGGGAGTGGAATGCCTCATCTTTCTCCCATGGAATGGCTGGTGGATTTGAAATGCCAACCTTGTAATTAGAGGTCCAGTGCTTATCCTACAGCACTACCAGGTTTCCTTGCCAATTTCATAGGGATAAAAAAGGGCATAATCTTTCACTTACTTTGAGAACAGTACCTGGTGCATAGTAAGACTCTATGAGTGCTGGCTATGGTTTCATTAGGGACACTGGCAGTACAATAGTTAACGTGCATAGCCAACTGAGAAGCTGGCGGCTCAGACCCACCAGTTGTTCTGTAAGAAAAAGATTTGACAGTCTGCTTCTGTACAGATTTACAGCCTTGAGAACCCTATGGAGACAGTGCAGCTCTACCCCTTCCTATAGGGTTACTGGGAGTCAGAATCATCTCGAGGCAATGGCTTTGGCTTTTCACTATGGTGTAGTGGGTTACATGTGGGGCAGTAAACCACAGGGTCAGCAATTTAAATCCATTAGCCACTCTGCAGGAGAAACACGAGGCTTTCTGTTCCCTGAGATGTACAGCCTCAGAAATCATATACAGGGCTGCTACAACCTGGAACCAACTCAACAACACACAACAATAACAACACTTTATAATAGAATCTAACTTTTTACTACTAATCTTAAATTGGATTGGGATCTGCCACTGAACTTTGTTCTGATTCTGAATTTGATTCCTCATAATCTATACATATATGATTAAAAAGTGATCTTCTAAAATATTCTTGACTTAACCCTTTGAGTTACTTGAACAGTCAAAAGAAAAAAATTAACAAAAAAGCCTATAGGGTATGGATAGGGGAAATTTGTCTGCAGCAGGGGTTTTTATGAAACCCCTCAAATCACAACTCTGCTATCACACGTAACATCAGTTTTTCACATACCAGGAAGGAGTCTCGTCTTCTTGTTTTTCCTTTGAGCAGGAGTTTCTGTATGTTCTGCTTGGTCTTTAGTTGGCGGCTCACTGACTTCAGACGGCCTAATGACAGCAGCCTGAACAAGACCATCCAAAGAGGTACTAACTAAAGAGTGGAAAAAATGGGATCATTTGAACAGACTACTGAGTTTCAAAAAGACAAGAAAAAAGAGACTTTAAAGTTTGCTATACAATAATCTCTTGTCTTACATAACTGATTAGGGCCCAAATCTTGATTTCCTTCCTTCTGAAACCTATCACTTTAGGTGTTAGGTTGAGAAAAGAAAAAAATGAGGGAACAAGGAAGGCTTAGGAAGGAAAGGAGCTAGAACAAAGAGGGGGATAAAATATCTTTGGAACTTACAAAAAGGTAAACATAATAGAACTGTTGCTATAAAGAAGTCTCTTGCCTTATGCATTAAGAATTTTCATCAGCATCTATATAGTTTGCTTGTAATTCAAGCACTGGACCTCAAGGTTGGTTTGAACTGCAAGGTCAGCAGTTCAAACTCATCATCAGCATCTCGGAAACCCTATGCAAGGTCACTATCAGTCAGGCCTGATGACATTTAACAACAACAGCAAGTCATCGTGGAGAACTGGAGTCATCAAATAATTATAAAGCCCTTCATCTGGTCATTTGTTTCAACTCCCCTCCATCAAATCCTTTAAAAGAATTTCAACAAATTTTGGCAGATTGGTATCATACTTGACTACATTCCCTTGTCGGTCTTCTTTATAAAAAAAGTGTAAGTGCATTCACAATCACATTACAAGATACTTAATCTCACTAGTATTCAGAAAATGCAAACTGAAATAAGCTACTTTTCATCTATCTACTAAACTGACAAAAATTTTTAAAAAAGAATCATTTTGTCCAATGTTGTCAAGGATTTAAAGGATGTGGCACTCTCAAATGCTGCCATGAGAAAATATTCACAATTTCCCGGAAGGCAATAAACAGAATGTACATGACCAAACTTTGCCTCTCATACTTCGGACATATTGTCAGGAGGGACCAGTCGCTGGAGAAGGATATCATGTTTGGTAAGGTAGAGGGTCAGAGAAAAAGAGGAAGACCCCCACCGAGATGGATTGGTCAAGTGGCAGTATCAATGGACTCAAGCGTGGCAACAATAGTGAGGTTAGGCCAGGATTGGGCAGTGTTTCGTTCTGTTGTGCATAACGTCGCTATGAGTCGATACTGACTTGATGGTACCTAACAACATCACACTAATAATTTCATTGCTAGCAGTCCATCCTACAGAAATACCTCTTCTTCCTTACCACACAGTGTCATAAAGAACAGTAAAGTATGTATACTACCAAGAGACCATTAATGATTGTACATTCCTATCTTGCATTAAGAATATATTACCACTTAATAATTATTAATTATTATTGATGTTTAGTGCTATGGAGTCAATTCTGACTCACGGCAACTCTGTATAGGGTTTCTGAGGCTTTACATCTTCCCGGGAGCAAAAAGTCTCATCTTTCTCCTGCAGAGAGGTTGGTGGGCTTGAATTGTGGATCTTGTGGTTCACAGTCCAGTGCTTATTGTATGGAGCCACCACGCTCCATTATTTATTAATACATTATTACCAATTAGTAATATTTATTACAAATAATGGAATGTGTGGCACTACAAGATAATGTGATAGACTGCAAGGTCAATATGAACCACAAGGTTGTTGGTTCAAACCCACCAGCTGCTTCTCAGAAACTCTATACAGGGTCATAGTGAGTTGGAACCAACACAACGGCACTTAACAACAACAAGTTTTTGTCAGTAGATAATGCACAAAATAATATATTTTAACAAAACCTTGATTTTGTAGCTAAGCTTTAATTTCAAACATAATAACATATTCTTAATAACAGAAACAATAATATATTAATAATATTATTTGTCATGCTGTTGTTGTTAAATGCTGTTGAGTTGGTTCGAATCCATAGCAATCTTGCATAAGGTTTCTACGGAGCAGCTGATGGGTTTGAACCAGCAACCTTGCGGTTCAAACTGACCTTGCATTTCAGTACCTTATCTTATAGCACCACACAATCAGTAAGAACTTTATATACTGCATACTCCAAATACACCCTGCATAGTGTATCAAATTAAATTTTTAAATGACAAGGATCTAATTCACATGCTCTGAAAAAACATACTGTACAGTGTTACAAATTAAGATTGGAGTCCGTGGGTGGTATATATGGTTACCAAACTTAGCTGCTAACCAAAAGACTGGTGGTTCTGGTTCCTCCAGAGGTTCCTTAGAAGAAAGTTCTACTAATCTACTTCCCAAAACCAGCCATTGAAAATCCTACGGAGCACAGTTCTATTCTGAAACACATGGGGACACCACAACTGGCGTTGACTATATGGCAATTGTGTGAGGGTTAGTTTTGTTTCAATCATTTAAGATGGAGTAGTCTTTAACTCTTTTTTTTTTTTAATGTTTTATTGTGAATTATGTGATAGTTTACATGGGAGAACATTAGTTTTACATTCATTCTATCATATATTGTCTCTCATTGCCATGGTTACAATCCCCTCCAAGCAATCCTTCCCCCGTACCCTCCAGGTCTTCAGCACACGTCTTTAGCTTTTTAACTGGAGTCCTGGTGTGGTGCTGTGGGCAAATGTGTCAGGCTGCAAAGTCGTTTGAATTGCAGGGTTGGTGGTTCAAGCACACCAGCTGCTCCTTGAAACCCTACACAGAGTCGCTATGGGTCAGAATCGGCTTGATGGCACTTAACAACAACAACTCTTTAACTGGTGTGGCATTGGGGGATAAAGTAAGATCGGTTCGAACCACAAAGTCAGTTCAAACTCACTAGCCGCTCCTTGTAAACCCTATACAGTGTCACTATGAGTCACAACCAACTCAACAGCACTTAACAACAACAACTCTTTAACTGAAGAGTCCTGGTGTGGTGTTGTAGGATCAGCACTGGACCACAAGGTCAGTTTAAACTGCATGGTTAGTGGTTCAAACCCACTAGCCGCTCCTCAGAACTGACTCAATGGCACTTACACAAGTCTTTAACTGAAGTACTGATGTGGTGCTATAGGATAAACATTGGACTGTTAATCCCAAGGTCGGTGGTTCAATCCTACCATGCACTCCTCGGAAATTTTATAAAGGTCCCCATGAGTCAGAACTAACTGAAAGGACTTAACAACAACAACTCTTTGACTAGGAATACTGGTATGGCACTGTAGGATAAGCACTGGACTGCTAACCACAAGGTAGGTGGTTCAAACCCACCTGTTGCATCTTGAAAGCCCTATATAAGGGTCACTATGAATTGGAACCAACTCCACAGCATATAACAACACTCTGACTGAAAACGGTATCTATTGCCATGTCAAAAAATCACACCTGAGTCAGAAATCCTGAGTCAAAAATGTTTTCAAAAACAAATATTCACCTTAAATCACTTTTATTTACAGCTGCTTTTCCAGAAACAAAATATATATAAAGTCAGAAAATATAATATTCCTTATTAGACATAATTTTAAAGTAACTCTCAGTTTTTATCATGAGTATCTCCAAATCACACAGAAAGAACCCACTACTTCATAAACACAGACTCTTCCTTTATTAAATAGCATTAAGCTGAGGGGAAAATTAAAATTCAACAATATCTGAACTTTAAAACTATTAAGTATAAACTAAAACAATACCTATAAAAGCCTGGCAATATTTATTCCCTTCTTTGTCTAAAGCACTAATTTTTTTGTGTGTGTGCATTTTTTTAAAAAGAAACACTGATTAGACCCACACCTCTGTCCCCTCATGCTGCCCCTGTATGGCACCCTCTACCTGCGGCCTTTCTAAGCCTGTACGTATGAGTCACTGTTTAACTGAGCATCTTCCTAAATCTAGATCTCTTTGACCTTTTTTTTTTTTGGTAGTTCTGTGTCTATATGTTGTTAGGTATACACTCATCTCTCCCCTCTCCCTTATTTTTCTCTATGTATATCAACAATTATGAGGAGGCAAAGGATAGGGCAATGTTTTGTTCATGAATTAAGGGGGGCAGTTAAAGACAGAGTAAACTGGTAGAGTAGGAATTCCATGATGAGAAATTTATGGGAAGTAAAAACTACTTGATTTAGGTAGTGACAAATTCTGAACATGTTGAGCTTGAGTTACTGGCAAGATATCCAGAATTATTAGGGATAACTCAAACAAAAAATGTGCAGAACATACTCATTTTTGCAGCTTTAATACCTGGATGATGCAGACTTGCCTTCAGACTCATGCTCAAATGTAGAAGTGCTTGGACTGAAATCAGGGATCCAAGAACCCTACAGCTCTTTAAATCCAGTATTAAGTTTGAGGATCTAGAACCTGCATAACTTAATACAACTTACGTTGTCTAGGGATAAAGGACTTCCAAGAGTCTGAGAACACTGTGAAAGTAAGAGCTTAGATGGCACAACCCACGAATGTTTCTAAGGCACTCTTTAGGTTACTCACTGCCTTGTCCTTTACTATCACCAGGAAGCCCACTCCTTCAAATAACCTAGCCTTAATACTGTCCTCACCACAGCAGGGACTTGGGACTGCTACAAGACTGCCTCTACCCTACTTGTGCTGTGTATTATACCTGAGGTCCTAGGGAAACTTGTGATCCCACACAATAAAGAGCTTCTTACCTAGGGTGTTTTTTGGCCTGGACTTCTTTTTCTTGGGACGATTTAGTGGGATGTCATCTATAAAACAGAAAAACAACTAAAAACACAACACAAAAGGCTGCCTAAAATTCAATGTAGAGAACAGTTAGAGAAGAACTTTTAGTGAGGAAGGCTTTTCCCACTCTTCCCTGGGCCCAATCCAATTTTTCACATTAGAGGAATAAGGCAAGGAGTCAACACAGACAGAGTCCAGGGTGTTGTACCAGTAATACTGCTGGGCAACGTTACAAATGGATGTAGACAGAGTTCTCTCACTAAATACCGTCTATCCCTGCATGTTTTCTAGCCCCTTGGTGTGGCGCTGTGGGATAAAGCATTGAACTGAAAGGTCAATTTGACTCACAAGGTCGGCAGTTCAAACTCATCAGCCACTTCTCGGAAACCTATACAGGGTCACTATGAGTCAGAACCAACTCACTTAACAACAACAATAACAATCATTAGACATGGTCTATGATTGGCTCTGGATAGTAGGCAATGAGCAAATGTGATCTCTGTTGTTTGGGGGCCAAAACATTGTAGGAGTCATTGAGCAAACTGCCTTCAAGTTTTCTCTTCCCTTGTTGTGTCAACTGAGGAAGCCACAGGATGGAATTAGCCTGGACCATGAGGGCATTAGTGAAGAGGTAATACAGGAAACCACCCTGGATGGATGCCACAGACCACGGTGTTATTGACATGAACCAGAACGAAACCTGTGAGCTAGTAAGTCACTGAGATGTGGGGGTTATTATCACAGTTTAGCCTATGGTAGCCTGACTAAATGAGATAAACGGCCTAGCTAACAGTTACACTCCTGGTGACTCCATTCAGGGATAAGTACGTTTACATTTCTAAAAGTCAGCAGTGTTGTTATATATCAAATGTCATTCAAAAATGGCAGTCAAGGGAGGTTATTATGATGAATAATAAGTTTAGGAATAAAGGTACTTAGTAATATTATGAATGAGACCATTCAGAGTCAGTTTTTAAGAGAAACATGATGGTATTTTGAATACCAAATACTATATTTATAAAGTTTTATATTTACAGTGAACTAACTCACCTTGAACAGCACTTTTATATGGCATCAACCAAATTAAATCAGTAGAATAAAGACAAAAAAAGAAGAAATTCTATTAATTAGAAATCTATGATAGTGACAGACTCAAAATATGCTTAAATCATTACAAATTTAAAATACAGTTAGCTTTCACACAATGTCAGCTAGTTTGCAAACTAATTCATCATTTACAAATAATAAGCTACTTAATAAGACAACTAATAAAAGAACCCCAATATGTTATGAACCTACGTATACATACCCTTCTGCCTACTAGTAAAGTGGATTACATAGATTAAGAACTCTTTCTTTTTCTCAGGGACAAAATCAGCTTAAACTCTGAGGAAACTATTCTAACAAACAAAAGAGGGCCAGAATTCTGGTAAACATTCTCATAAGCAATTCTCTGATAAACAAAACACTAAAACAGTCTTAATTAAAGCACTATTATATCCTGTTAACCTTCAGATTTTTAAATCAAACATTTAATCATAATTCTGATCTTAATGATTCCAAGACTTCCTACCTTTAAAAGATTAGGAAGACCTTTCAAAAAACAATTTAGGGAGTCTTTTCTAAATCATAAATTTGCAATAGTACAAGTCAAAACATTTTTTTCATTTTATTCATTCTGTACTTCTTAAAGTCCAATAATGAGTACGAAAAATTATTTTTACCTTGGCACCGGTGGAAGCACTCGTGGAGGACGCTGGAAGAAGGAGAAAACTAGTTGTAAGTAAAAGCCTGGATCATCATTACTTTATTTACCTCCACACCATGAAGCCAGTCTTGATTTTTATTGATTTATTTTTATGATTTGGGTGAAAATTTACAGAGAAAACTTGTTTTTTTAATTCAACAGTTCATACACATTTTGTTTTGTGTCACTAATTACAATCACCACAATGTAACTGCACTCTTCCCATAGCCTTCCCCACAGTTTCCATTTACCTTCATCCTTCTGAGCATTTGTTGTTGAGAAGTGCCGTCGGGTGGATTACAACCCATAGCGACCCGTATAGGGTTTCCAAGGAGCATCTGGTGAGCTTGGACCACCGACCTTGCAGTTCAAACGACTTTGCAGTCTGACACATTAGCCCACAGCACCACACCAGGACGTGGGCAAATGCTGCCCTTTTGATCTTGTATGGTTGTTGGTTGTAATAAAGTGGCTACCTCCCTAGTGCTAGCATTCACCTTACAGGCCTATCATTTGACTTAACGGTGACCAAGGAGGTGAGTTCACTACCAGGCTTAAAGGGTGTCTCAGGGGTTTCACCAAACTCTATCAGAATAGTAAGCCTGGTCTTACTGTTTTATTATTATTTTTTTTATGATTCTGAGTTTTGTTCCACATGCTTTCCCCACTCTATACAGGACTTTCTGTTGTGAGCCCTTTCTGCGCAGTCAGCAGTGGTCACTTGGCACCATCTAGTTCTTCTGGTCTCAGGGTAGTGAAGGCTGGGGAGAGGGGAAGGGTATCACTTAGTCCTTTGAACTAATTATTTCCTTATGTCTTTGATTTCCTTTACTCTTCTTTGCTCTAGACAGGGAGAGACCAATAGTTGCACCTCAGATGGCCACTCACAAGCTTTTTAGATCACCCAAAGTATAATGTAGAGTATTGTCTGAGGACTATGTTTTATATCAATTATTATTGGTGGTGGTGGTGTGCCGTAGTACTGGTTCCCACTCATAGTGACCCTGCCTAGTGTTTCCGAGGCTGTCAATCTTTATGGGAGCAGAAAGCCTCATCTTTCTCTCGCGGAATGGCTGATAGTTTTGAAGTGCCGACATTGAGGTTAGCAGCCCAACTGGTAGCCACTAACCTACCAGAGCTCCTTTCAATTAACTTTAATGTCCCCTGAAACTATGATCCTGAGCTCCTGGGCCCAGCAACTCATTCCCTCAAGATGTCTGGTTATGGCTAATTAGTTTTCATAACTTTGCCCCCTGTATGCTCTACCATGTTCATAGATATTCAGCACATACAACTACGGATGTAGAAATATCCTCTGCCAAATCTATACATATTTGTGAGTATAATCCCAAGAAGCTATTCTTTTTTAAAAAGCCTATTGCTCAAATATGACAGAAAACTATAATGCATCAGACTAGTATCCTCAGATCTAATTCACCATGTCTATCAGTAAAGTCTAGGAGGCACTAATGAGAATGGGATGGGCTTTTTTTAAAATTTATTCTACTATTTCAGAATTTCATGTACAATTTCTTCCTTTTTACTTTCCTCTCTATCTGCAGGCCAGGATTTGATTTTAGGATTGGGAATACATTAATGAGCAAAACAGAGATGTCCTAGCTCTCATGAACTTACTACATTCTAGTGTCCAAGTATTAGAAGAAAAAAATAACTAATAAAGAATACTGAGTTAGTGAATGAAGGAAGATGAGGAGCACTACTGAACTGCCTTTCAGTCTGAGATAATTGAACTGAAGACTGAATGACCAACATTTCAAGCAGAGGATTACAACTCCTCCAAGTCTAGTTGGAATGTTCCAGCTAAAAAGGCAGGCCAGCAGGCTGCAGCACACTTGTAGATTGTTGCTGTATGCCGTTGATTCAGGCTTGCCTCATTGCCACCTTGTATCGGGTTTCTGAATTTGTAAATCATTCCTGCAGCAGAAAGCCCCATTTTCCTCCTGCGGAATGGCTAGTAGGCTCGAACTATTCAACTTGTGGTTAGCAGTCCAGTTTTCTTTCACAGAGCCTCAGCGCACCCAGAGGTAGGTTGCTGTTTTGTTAAGTGTCATCAAGTTGGTTCTAATTCATAGCGACCCTCTCTAGATTCTGAGAAGCCGCTGGTGGTTTAAATCACAGACCTTGTGGTTCAAACCCACCTTGCGGTCCAGTATGTTATCCTGCAAGTGCCACACCAAGACTCCTCAGAGGTAGGTAGTTGTTGTTAAGTGCAGTTGAGTTGGTTCTGACTCACAGTGACCCTGCATAGGGTTTCCAGAGCGGCTGGTGAGTTTGAACTACCACCCTTGAAGTTCAAACCAGCCTTGAGGTTGAGTGTGTATCCTACAGTGCGACAGATTAATTAGAGCCTTGCAGACCAAGGGGAGGAGTCTGACTTTCATTTTAATAAAAAGCCAATGGAGAGATTTAAAGACACTTATTTTATAATTTTTTGCTTCTATTCTCTCTTTTTTTTTAATGTACACAAAAACACGCAGGAATATATAATCATTTAAACAACCAAAGGGCACATTCTACAAGCCTGCCTCCTGTCCGCCAGCTGTACACAGCCTTTCTCTTTCCATCAGTCTAGAGTTCTCAGCTTCCCTATCTATCCATGTCCTCATCTCTGCCTCCATCTCTGGTGTAGTTCCTTCCTCTGGATAGGTCCCACATTCGGCTCATGCTCTTCTCCCTTGATGGTCCTAGGGTCCTCTGTTCCCATAATGTAAGACTAACTACTCGCCCCTTTATGTTACAAAACTTCTACCTTTACAGTTGTAACCACTGCTATTAGTCATGATAATAATAACTCACTATTGAATCAAGAATCTTACCCCCATCTCCTTTCAAGACAAGATGAAAACTATTCATTGGGGATTTTACCTTCCCCTGCTCGCTCTGAAACTAAACTCTCTCTTGAAAAGTTGTGACCCAGCCACTTTGTGCCTTTATTGCCCCCTCCCCCATTTTAGATAGCCATTGTTTAAGTTGCACATCCCTATCAACCCTGTGTACAGAGGGGATAGGCTTGATCCTTGATGTGAAGACGCCTTCCTTCTCAGTTGGTATTTTGAGCTACTACATCCATAACTATAGGTCAAGTTTGTCAAACTGTAGCAAGTTACACTTGTTTCTAAAGACACTTATTTAGAAGGTCACTCTGAATACAGCAAGAAGACTAGATTTTAGGGCAAAAGAAAGGGGGAAGAAAAACTTTCTAAATTTTATGCTGTTTTACACGAATATGAAACGCTGTTTACAGTCCAGAGAGGATTACATTAAATTAACATTCTGGAATCTTTCAAAAGAAAATACTAAAATAAATACCCAGACATCAGTGTAACATTACTCTGACGTCATGATGCTTGCAGAGGACAATGAATCAACAGGAATAAATTTTACATTCTTGTAGCTGGTTCTACAACTATTTGATTTAGCAATCCACTCATTCTGACGGCATATTAATACATATGCTATAATTTAGTACTTTCCAGTCAAAATTGAAACTAGAAAAAAAGATGAAAGTGTTATTGTTCTAAAGATGCTGCAATAGCGTTCTAAGGACCCCAGTTCGCTCAGTAATCCACTTCACATTTCAAAAGTCCCGCAAAAATGATGTTTCAACCACCTAGAAAAACAATTTAAAAGTTCCTCAAACGCAGGACTTCTCAACTGAAGACACACTCTTAATAATCCAAAGAAATAATACGTAATCAGGTCTCCCTTACCACCTGCTTCTTTTCCATTTCATGCAAGCCGAGCTTGTTCAGCCCCGGCCCGGCGCCCTCACACACCCGCCTCCGGCCGCGCGCGCAGGCGCAGTCGCGTCATCCGGTTGCGCGGTACTGGCCGTTCCTTGCCCACGGCCTCCCCGGGGGTCCGGTCCGGATGTAGCGAGTCGTCGCGACAGGCTTGACCCATCTAATCCACTCCTGCGGGAAAAGGGCAGCCGAGGACAAGGCTGATGTGTTCGAGAGAAGAGACTTCGTAGGACAAAGGGCTGCAACAACAGTTGTCTCCGCGGTTTCTCGAGTGGTTGCAGTGATTTGTTTGGGGGACGTGAGGGAAGGCAGTAAATAAAAGTCTGGGCTTGCAAACAGCTCTTGCTTAGCTGATGGCTGAGAACCCTCCCTGAGGTATTAGGATCCTCGCTTGCAGCACCTACACTCGCTATAGCCAGGACCGGTTGGTGCGGTGTCGTCATGGCAACGCAGGCGTGTTGGTCCTTGGAAGCTTTCCATCTGGCTCCAAGAGTTGGGGGTCCCGGTCTCCTGAGGACAAATTTCCACCACCACCACCAATCCCTGATCGCCGAATAGCAGACGCGCGCACCCCACAAATAGGCCCTTCCAGTTTATTCCTTGCCGGCTGGCGTCGGCCCCACCACTGGGGCGGCTGCTCAGTTAGGGCGCCCACCCTCCACCCCCACCACCTCGTGTGGCCTATGTGCCCCTCCTGCTCACCAGGTGGTTCTCCTCTAGCCAAGACTTCGATTCGGACCTCATGGTTCTCTCCCCACCGGACTCCCTGGGTGCAACAGCCTTTGCGGCTCCCCGCGACGCCGGCCTCTGGGACCTGCGGGAGGCGGGGGCTTCGGGGCCGCCTGACTAACAGCAGCCGCCTCCAGCGTCAGGACTCCGCCAGGCTGGGCCCAGGGTTCCGAGGCGAAGACAGTGTTCCACGTCGTCAGTCAGGGACCAACTAGCTTACCCCGAGGCCCAACATTTCCGGGAGCTGGAGTGTATGCTGGTACAGGCAATCCTCACATTCTCGCCGCTTACTTATACTCCATCCCACAACTGTGTAAACAATCTTTGGAGAACTTTTTGCTCTCTCAACGAACCACAACATAAAATCAAACCCGGCCTCACTTAAGTCTGATTACGATGTAAGTTTCTACTTAATTTTCTTCTAGTTTTGATGAAGAAAGAACTGAGCGGTAGAATGCAATGAATATGAAGAAAGCAGAGAATGATGGAGAAGATAAACAGATACAGGGACAGGGAAAGTGACTGGTAGCCCTGGGAAAGGAAGAATCACGCGATTTAGTATAATAGCATGTCCATCTTGTTGTTTTCCCACTTATTGGTCGTATAGATGAAATTCCCTTACCCTATTTAGGCATAAACGTGGATATTGGGTTTTAGGACGAATCATAATTGGGATTAGAAGAATTATCTTTTCCTTGTAGACTGATTTGTAAATAATGAGGGCAGTGCAATTTCTGAGGTTTTGATGCTAGGCCTGAAATGTGTACAACGCGATGTAACAGATACATTTTCATACAAGTTTTATATAGTAAAACATAATCTCTGAAATGAAATACTTCTTTATTTTCTTAGGAAATCAAGGGAAGTTTCTACTATTCAGTAACTTGAAATTTTCACATTCATGTTCCACCACTTTTGCATAGGAGGTAAAGGAAAACGGTTCCCCAAAGCCAATCAACATAATCATACAATACACATTTATTTTCAAATAAGGTTAATTAATAAACTACAGCATTTTAGTGGTTACAAATCGGGCTGTGAACCGCAAGGTCAGCAGTTCGAAACTACCAGCGGTTCCGCGGGAGAAAGATGAGGCTTTCTGCTCCGGTAAAGATTTACAGCCTCGGAAACCCTGTACAGGGTCGCTAAGAGTCAGAACCGACTCCACGGCACTTAACAACAACAACAACAGCATTTTTAAAAGTTGCACACATTATAATGCGTGCTATTTTTTTATTGCAGCTGTTATTCCAGATACATGTAACAATGGTACAGTGTTAAAACTCCAACATCATGCAGGAGTCCTCCTTAAGATTCAGTATTAGAGGAAATCCATGTTGCTGGGACTCACTGAGGCTCTTCCTGAGCCTTCCTTACTAATGACAACAACTGGACACATGCATCTTGCAAGTCGTCATTCACAATCACATGATCAAAATACTGGCCAAACTGGGTCTCCATTTTTTGGGCCAAATTTTCCATCTCTTATAGATCTTCCTCCTTCAGGAGGGCAGATTTAATGAGATAAATGGAATTAGTATAGAGTTTGTTATACATCTGGATAAGTTGTTGTTGTTGTTGTTGTTAAGTGCCGTCGAGTCGGTTCCGACCCATAGCGACCCTGTACAGGGTTTCCGAGGGTGTAAATCCTTACGGGAGTAGAAA